GAAGTTTATCAAATAAATAATCTTAAACAGCATGTTACTACATATGAGTGCATTCTGTTTGAAGAGCTATTTAAGAACAATAATTCAGGGCAGGTTTTGTTCAGAAAGCCTGATATTTTTTCAAACTCACTACCCGAATGTCCAGGTAGCATGGAATTTTCATGCACGTTTCTAGAAGCCTATTTCTAGCTATTACTTCTTTATTGTAATAGTTTATTAAAGGCGTTAAGATTCTCCCTCGCATTGAAACTTTTCCAGCAACAGATAGATATAATTTTCAAAAAGATTCAACTCAAACATACCAATAGTCGATCTCCCATGCAACTGCTAACAGTTTTTGCTCTTTATTTCTCCTTTTTATTTTTCTGCCTTCAAATGTACAGTTTCTAACCTGGGTTTAGAACATACTTTTCCTTTATTTATGAACAATTTAAATTATTTCAGTTCAGTTATATGTGCACATTTGGAAAACTTACTTACTAAAGCTATTGCTCCTTGAAGGCATGTTAATGCATGTGTGTACCTTTTTGATGGAGACATGCTGTGAGTGTTGGACACTGTGTGCCCACCCAGCTGACTCTGATTTGGAAAAGAGACACCTAAAATAAGTGCCAGTCTAATAACCTTATTATCTGAACCTGGTCTCAGGGTCAGCCAGACAATCTAACACTGTGAAGCAGAAGTGAGGGACTTTCTGTGCTAGATTCTTTCTTTGCAATATGCACAATACCCTCTTGGAGGCATTTCTGTAGCCAAAATCCAAAACTCAATAAAATGCCTGCCTGGGGGAGAAAAAAAAATGCCTGCCTGGTTGCCTAGGTTCATGTTTCTCCAACTGGATGGCTTTTCTACAACCGTGTGGATGGAATAGGACGGACAGTGTTTCTCTTGGCCACGATTGTTGGACCTAGTATGGTCCGCAGCTCAGTTGGCTCCTGCTAGGGAAGCGGGTAATTGGTCATTGATTGCATCTGATCCTGATGTCAGCCATGACATCACTCTGTCTGGTTTCCCCAGGGTTTAGTCATTGGGATGTTCCGTTTTGTTGATGCCAACCAGAGCCCCATTCTGAGTGCTTAATGATGAAGGGAGTAGTTGTTCATGGGAGAGGAAGGTGGGTAAGTCAGAGTTTTGGATGAGACCAGATTAAATCAAAAGGGGCAGAAAAAAGAAGAAAAGGTCAGATTAAACAAAATAGGGTTTCTGCGTGGTTTTATAATATGCGTGGATCTTCACCCTGCTGTTCTCTTTCACTCCATCGTATTTTTATACCATAAAATAAGTATCTTGAAATCAATTTCAATAACACTGAGACTTCCGAGGCAACACCAGTTCTTTTTTCAATAGACCGCCTCTCTGACTCTGGCCAATATAAGCAGGCTTTTTTTCGTTTCAAAAGTCGTCTTATACGCTGGAAAATATGATACCCTGACAGAGTTACAACTTGGTAAGTTTTTCATAGAGATAATATTAAATATACTTAAATGTATATGTTAAAAGTAAATGATTTTTAAATAAATCATCTTTTCATGATCCCTTCCTTTTCCCTTTTCATGATCAACTCCATGGACATAAGAACTCTGTGACTTTTAAGTTATTTTAGAAGAGGAGTAGAAATAGATGAGAACTAAACAATGAATTGCTCTTTTGAACCAATATGAAACAAAAAAAGATCTAAATGATGAAAAGGAAAATGCTTCTGCAAACATAAATATCCTCAGCTGTAGCAGAAAATGGAAGAAAATGTAAATAAAATGCTTTTTAACTGCTTTTTTTAGTGCCCACATGAGGGTGATGTTTTACAGTTGTAATTCGGTATTGCCTTACAACTATGTATCTAGTATGAATGGATGGTCTATCAGTTGGATTCTTTAATCTGGTGACATTTAAGAAGACAGTGTAAGCTTTAAAATGTATTCATGTGAGATTCTGTGTATGATTTGGAAGCCCCTTTAAACGCATCTCTACATACAGGGTGTCCCAAAGAAGGGCATACACACTCTTAACAGCTGATAGCTCAGTTTTGAAAATGAAATGCCTTTTAATAAACACTGTCCTTATAATTATTCAAAATGTGTGTATACATTTTTTTGGGACACCCTATATTATCTTAGGAGCCTTGATTTGAAGTACTTCTACAACATACTGAGAAATATGTGGATTGAACCAAAACCCTAGGCAAAATGTGGCAGAAATTTATAGGTTTTATTTTATGCCTTTATTCCTCAGAGCGTGTCTCAAAGAACTGGGGGATGCATTCAGATGCAGGGGGAATTTTCACTTTTTACTTTATTGTACAAACTTGAAACCTGTGCACTCAGAATACCAGTCAGCACCAGTAACAATTCAGGCGATGCTCTTAGAAATGTTTATTGAGCTCCCTAAGATGGTTAAGCATGAGATCAAACTTAAATACCTGTCCTGGAGTCTGCGGGTGGGAAAAGAACTTGACACCTTTGCCTTTGTCATCGACATCTCAGAACCTCATATTTTTAGCAGCATTCAGGAAGGTACTCGCCCCACTTCCTTTCGGAGGCGGTCTTTAATCCCATCTCTCAGTATTTTTTTAGCCTTATTCCATTGTTTCTACTTAAACTGCTTATTAACAGATTAATCAAGCCACTCACCTCCGTCCACCCTCTCTACGTCCCGATAGAAATTGGTTGCTTCCTTCCTAAACTTGATAACTAAAGGCTTCATGTTTTGTTTAATGTTTAGTTCCTTCCAGCCCTTTTAATCAGAGACTATGGTTTCTGTGTCACAGGTCAGTATTTGTTCCCAGCCAGGAGAACAGATCCTTTCTGAATCCCGTTATTGCAGCCCATGGGTTGGGGTTGGGGTTGGGGGCAGGGAGCAGCTCAGCTCCCATCTGAGACCTTCCTGGAGGCTGGGCCTCAGTGCAGGGATCCCTTTCCAGGAGCAGAAACCTCTTCATCACAGAATCTTCTGGCTCCTTTCCTGCTGGAAGGTCAGAAGCTCAGCGGGTATTTCACCAAATTCAAGACCAGCAAGCCCTTAGCCAGACCGCATTGTGATGTTCAAACCTGGAGCCTTCCATTTCTCCCGCTCCCAGGCGGGCCCCTCCTGTGGCATTTCCCCACCTGCTTGCATTCTTCCAAACTGCTCCGTCTCAGGCACCAGCCCCGCACGCCAGGCCCAATTCACCCACCTCTGATCTGCAGGGAGCAGCACCTCCCGGAAGGGCCGCAGGCAGCCCAGGCCCCTCTGGCTCTCAGTGGCACTGCCGCCTCCTCCAGGAGCAGGTGACTTTTAACAACTCCTGCAGCAGGCAGTGCAGCCACAGGCACCTCCCTGCACAGCTGCTTCCCCTGGCGTGGGCCTGGCCCTGGCTGCCAGCTGACATGGCCTCGCTGCCCTCACCACCTTTTGTCTCTGGGAGGATGTCTGACACCAGCAGACCCACCCTTGCCCCTTGCTATGTTCTGCCGGTGGCTTAGCTGCCGCGGAGTTGGTTGCCTCTTGTGGCAGCTCTAAGGCAAGTCTTGGTCCTGGAGCAGCCGGGCCTTGTGCCAAATCAAGGGCACCGGGATGGAGGGGCACCTAAATGCCATCCCAGCAGCAGGACCCTGGGACTGTCTTTAGCCAGGAGTGGAGGTGGCCGGACAGTGAAGTGGGCTTGCTGTGTCCTTGGCCTCCTCTCGCCCATGCTGAAAGCCTCTTAAGACCTGAGTGCAGGCTGGTGGGGGTACTGGTGGGGGAACGAGTGGAGATGGAAGGGGACACTTCTGTGCCATGCAGAATGCTGCATTTCAAGGGCTTAGAAGAAGGCCCGATCTTTGCTTTACTTCACATACCCAGTGATGGCGCCCAAACCTTCCAGTGCTGGGCGGGCAGGGGAGCAGGACTCTGTCCCTGTCTATGTCACGTGCACTCTGCTCTGTGTAGGAGCCTCACCCTGGCCAGGGGGCACCCACGGGCGGGAGAAGCTGGGCCGCTGCTGCCACGCCCCCTCCTCCCGCTCCCCTGCCCTTCCGCAGCCCCGTCGCCCACTCCTCCCTCGTGGCCCTCTGACCACCAGCCACCAGTCCTCACCAGCTCCTGGGTCTTGACCATCCGTGTCCTTCGGGGGCTCGGCCTCTCGGCCACCTGCTCGCTTACCTCTTCCATCCAGCCCCAGGAGGAGGAGGGGAGTCATCAGACAAGTCATCAGGCGTCAGGTCTCCCTGGGTGCTGGGCCTGTTCCGGGCGGCTTGCCATTTGTAGGCAGAAACAGATAACAAACAAAGGAGGTTTATTATCAGATCGTGCTAAGCACTTTGGAGACAAATTAAGCAAGGCTGGCACGGAGGTGGACAGGGTGCTGTCTTAGACAAGATGCACAGCGTGCCCCTGGCGGGTGAGCAGGCGGTGCAGCGGAGGGCGAGCACCCGCATCTGTCTTCCACCTGCAGGTGCAGTGTAAGCTCCTTCCTGCTGCTGACTCCTCCTGCCTCCTATTGTGTATCATATCACACCTCTGGGTCCAATCCTATAGCTTCCACCCGGTGGGCTCCCCAGATTAAACCCGCTCTCTCTCTCTCTCTCTCTCTCTCTCACACACACACACACACACACACACACACACACACACTCACACACTCCTAAGGTTTCAGACCTTATCAGGAACTTACTATGTTAAAGGAACATCTCTCACTTCCCGTCTTGTATTTACATCCCACCATGGCCTTCCTCCACTAGCTTAGCCCACGAAGGAAGTCTGTGCCCCTTCCAATTTCTGATGGTCCCTCACCCCCTGCCCTACAACATTGGACAAGAGGGAAGGCCGAGGGAAAGGGGGAAAGAAGGTAATCGTGGCAGCATAACTACCTCAATCAGGACTGTCTGCTACTCGGGCAGACACCTGTGCGGGGTGGAAACCAGGAGCTTCCCTCGCGCCTGCTGCCCGTCCCCTCCTGTGCTGGCGCGGCTGTCCCCCGGTCACCCACAGCCCAGGAAGAGGTCATCCGAGGCCTTCCTGAGCCCTGCTGGCTTTCCTTTCAGCTTCCTGGAGAGAATCGACAGCGTCAGCCTGGTGGACTACACCCCCACGGACCAGGTACGTGACCTTAGAGCTGAGCCACCTGCTGGAGGTCAAAGAAATTGCCAGTATTATTCAGTGATTCTTTTTTTTAAACGGATTAAGGAAACTTTTCTTCAAATAACTACTTCTTGAAAATGATGTTGTCCCTGCCTGTGCAGGTGGTATATGTTTGCTATGCCCTGTTAATGGCCCATGGACTTAGCTCTCTGAAATGTACTAAATGTCTACATTCCAAATATCAAAATAATGTTATTTTGGAATAGGCCTAAGCCATTCCCATTCCTCTTGGAGCTTAGTTTTCCACAGAAAACTAAACCTTTGCCTCCCTGGCTTCATAAACTCTGCCCATCCTGCTTTTGGCCCTGGTCTGAGTCACAAACCACAACACACTCTTCAGGGGTTGAGCCAGGAAGTTTACTCTCTGCGAGTAGCAGAGAGGGACCTTACATGGCTCCCAAACCTTCGGCCCTCGGGCCTCTGTAGAGACTTGGACAACCAAGCATTGTTCAGTGTAGGTGCCCTCCCGAGGCCTCCAGAGCTAGTGAGCTCCAAAGAAGTGAGGGGGCTCTGTTCAGACTCCCAGTCTGCGTCCCCTGGAGGGCCTTGCCTGGATCTCGGGGAGGCTCTCTCTTCTGTGCACGCCTCCTGGGGGTCTGAGCTCCTCTCCATCCCTCAACGTCCACCTGTCTCCGGGGCTGGCTCTGAGCGAGGCTCAGAGTTACCTGGCAGAGCAGCGGAGCCCTCCTAGCCCTGACTCATTCCCCTGAGGCTGTCCTGAGCACCTCCCTTCAAACTGAGAAGGGAGGACCACCTCTCAGCTTCCGGAGAGATGGCCGTGTCCGCTTCACCAACATCGCAATGGATTTGTGATCAGAAAAAAAATACCCTGACATCTGGCAAACATACGTACGAGAGGTCTCAGCTTAAAAAATTATGGCTTTCTCCTCCCCTCCTGGCCACAATCAGCTTTTATCTTAGAGAGCAGAGAAGTCTGCGGGGGAGAGAGGAAATCTTAAATCAATTAGCACCCAGTCCAGAGCAACTATGGCCTGTGAATGCAGTTGCACTTCCTCTGCTTTCTCACCCAAATGGCTCTAAACCTTGAACAGCTGGCTCTCGGTTGTACCAGGAGAGTGCAGGCAACAACCTTAAGGGAGGGGTGTGGTTGTCAGGAGCACAGCAATGGTTACATTCATCAGTGATTAAAAATAAAAATCCTGCCGGCACCAGTTTGGCTCAGTGGTAGAGCGTCGGTCTGCAGACTGAAAGGTCCCAGGTTTGATTCTAGTCAAGGGCATGTACCTTGGTTGCGGGCACATCCCCAGTAGGGGTGTGCAAGAGGCAGCTGGTCAATGATTCTCTCTCATCAACGTTTCTAACTCTCTATCCTTCTCTCTTCCTCTTTGTGAAAAATCAATAAAATATATTTAATAAATAAATAAATAAATAAATAAATAAATAAATAAATAAATAAATAAATCCTAAAAAAATAATAATAATAACAAAGCACAGCTATCGAGTCTAAGACCAAACCAATGCATTAACTATGACTTTCTCGGGGGTGGGGCTCGGGGAGGGAGACAGAGCACTTCTGTCTGAGTTTTCATTACTGCACTGTTGTTTCTTATATAATGGAAGAAACCGCTATTTGAAAAGCTCCCTTATGCTTGCGATCCGGGCTCCTTCCCTTCAGGAGAGCAGTGATGTCACTTGGTCTGCCTTTCTCTCCCTGCTCCAGGACCTTCTCAGATGCAGAGTTCTGACATCAGGGATTTTTGAGACACGATTCCAAGTGGACAAAGTAAACTTCCAGTAAGTGTGTTGTTGGGAGCAGGCCTGCTGGGGGGCTGTGGACAGGAGCCCCGCCCTGCTGTTGTCTGGGGCCCACTGGGCGTGGGGCCAGGAGACCCCTCGAATCCCAAATGTATTGCCATCCTTCCTGATAAGTAACTGTGACCGCGTGGCCGTGAAGTGCATGCAGTGGGTGTAGGGAAGGGAGGAGTCCAAGACTGGAGAGGCCTGCGAAGGAGAAAGATCCCAGGCATCGGAGAGGCAGATAGAGAGAAACTGCAGGCTGAAATGCGGGCAGCGGGGTGCGCCTCAGGCTGGCCCAGGAAGAGGAGCCTGAGCCACCCGATGACCACAGGGCCAGGGCTGCGACCCGAGAAACGCCTGGCTGTGGACGCCCAGGCCGGCTCCCTGGAGCTCACCCGGGGCCGCCCGAGCAGCCTGCCGAGGCCGCGCAGGCCCAGGTCACACGGGCCCAGGTCACACGGGCTGCGCTGCAGGCGGGCAGCGGGAAGAAGAGCACAGAGTGCAGGGTGCGTCCTCACAGCCCAAGTAATTGTCATCCTCTTCTCCTTCCACAGCATGTTTGATGTCGGTGGCCAGAGGGACGAGAGAAGAAAGTGGATCCAGTGCTTTAACGGTGATTTCTAAGCTCCCTCAAGAAAAGGGGATGAGTTCTCCCCTAGCTCCTGCCACTATGTTTAAATAGTTTTGCATGAAGTCATCTATAAAATGCCTTCAATATCATTCTCATAAGTAAGGAATTTAAGTGTCCCCAGCTCCCATTTGCCATGTGCTAATACAGGGTGGATTCCTGGCTGGGCACGTGACTAAAGGCCCAGTTGCACGCGTGTGCTCACACACACACACACACACACACACACACACACACACATACACAGTGCTGGTTCACGTCTTTCTCGCGGGCAGGGAGTGAAAACCACCCTGGGGATGATGGCAGTTGGATGTGTACTTTGTCCTCAGCCCCAGCGACATCTGTCTAACTTCCTCTCCTCTCCCACTAAGACGTCACCGCCATCATTTACGTGGCAGCCTGCAGCAGCTACAACATGGTGATCCGGGAAGATAACAACACCAACCGGCTGAGAGAGTCCCTGGACCTTTTCGAAAGCATCTGGAACAACAGGTGATAAAAAACGATAAGTTCAGTCTCGCCACTGGATTGCAAATTTTCTTCCATTGAAAGTATCACTCAGCTCACTTTTGTTATTATTCTCCAGATAAATTCATTCGTTCCTTACTGGTAAATCCAAAACTGCAAGAAGTATCTCTTTTAGTCCATCTCACATACAGACACACTTAACATGGACTATTCCTTAATGGAGCCTTGCTAGTGCTTTGTGGAGAAAATTTAGTGTTCCTCACTTGACTTTTTTTTCCCCATTGATTTTTAGAGAGAATGGAAGGAGGGAGGGAGGGAGAGAGCGAGAGAGATCAATTGGTTGCCGGAGTGGCAATCCACATATGTGCCCGTGGTTGGGAATCGAACCCACAACCCTTAGATGGAAGGGTCACTGCTCTCACCACTGAAATAACCAGCCAAGGCTGTGAAGAAAATGTAAATCTCTGTTTGGAGAGCCCAAGATTATATCTAGGGTACAAAACTGGTTTGGTTTGGTTTTCAGAATTTAGAAAGTGCCAGTTTTAAGCATCCACATATAGCTAGGTGACCCCTAGGATCAGTTACAGTTCAAAAGCGCAGTCTTTTCTGAAAGTGCTACTACTGCACAGGAGCAAACAGCACACACACCCCAAACGCTGCACATGGAGGTAAAAATCAGTGTCTTCTGAAGTATTTAGGAAGAAATAGCACCATGGGGGTCAGAAACATAAGCTGGCCTTGCAAAAGGCCAGTAGGTCATCAGGCCAAAATTTCTCTAATAAAGTGTTCAACAACTGTTCTTATTTTTATACTATTAGGACAGTGGGAAAGAAAGAGTCAAGAAATGTGTTGGGTATACACAGAAATGTGTTGAAGTCATTAAAATAGTTAGATATAGATAGATATAGATATACACACACACACACACACACAATCACATGGGAAAATGACTACAATGTTGTTAAATGAAAAGGCAAATTTAAAAACACCTTGAACTTATTTTTATAAACATGATAAATATGTGTGAAGATAGAAAAAAAAAAAAAGTAAAAACATGAACATTCTAATAGTTGTGTCTGGGTGTAATTACATTTTATTTTTTCCTATGTATTAATTTTTCTATAATTAAAATTTCATTTTTACAAGGACTATGTATTTTTTTAATCCTTGCCCGAGGATATTTTTTTATTTTAGAAAGAGGAAGGAAGAGGGAGAGATAGAAAACCCTATCGTTGCCTCTCGCATGCACCCCAACTGGGAATCAAACCCGTAACCTAGGCATGTGACGTGACCAGGAATAGAATCGTCCAACCAGCTGAACCACACCAGCCAGGCTCTGTATTTTTTAACTAGAAGAAACCTTAAGGCTATTTCCATTTGGGGGAAGAATGGGTTGTGTTTCTAATTCATAGTAAGATTCCTGTACACATTCCATCAGCTTGATTCCTTTGAAGGAATGGGATTTCTAAAGGCTTTGCTGATGGGCACCCTGAACTGGTGTTAAGCCAGTTTTCAGCGTCCATCAAAATGAGACAGAGAACTTGCCCGCCTGCACCTCCACAGTGCCTGAGTCCTCCTCCCCCCGCCCCCAGCCTGGCCTGTCCATCTCCGGGGTCTAGATAGATCTAGATCTGATGAACATTCTGCCCACGTCTGGAGAGTCAGACCTGCTCAGAGGTGGCAGGGGGAAACCAAGCCAGCCACAACTATGTTCTGTGCGATTAGCTCATGAGTCCTGTATCTTCTTAACAAGGCTGTAACTTCCTCTAGTTTTCTGACACTTTCTTAGTAAGTGACACCCATCATAAATAATCCAAGTGTATTTATTACATGAGTAACCCTTAGCTTTGGTACCAGTAAGTGTCTGTCCCCAGGGCAGATAAGGTAGAAGGAGCTAAAACTGCTACGTCATCTGCTACATTTCGTTACCGTTGTAAGAACGTCTTTCTTGGAGACCAAGTGCGGGATGGAGATACCGGTCTATCAGGAGAGGCTACGTCCTCGCGTGCCCTCCTTGACCCCGAGTCCCTCCTGCGTTCGCCGTTCTTCCCCACAGAGCGGATGTCCAACGCATGTATCTGTTTCTCCTCTCCAGGTGGCTGCGGACCATTTCCATCATCTTGTTCTTGAACAAACAAGATATGCTGGCGGAGAAAGTCTTGGCGGGGAAGTCAAAAATTGAGGATTATTTCCCAGAGTATGCAAACTATACTGTCCCTGAAGATGGTAAGTAAGGTTTCAAAGCAAGGTTTCCCCCGAGTAAGGCAAAGACTTGGTTGTTCAGTAGCCCTATCATTCCAACCATCCTGGTGGCTCTAGGACACTCAGTTCATTAAAATCACTCCTCTTGGCGACTGCCCCTCCCTCAAGTGGGAGCGTTGAAGGCGTCCCGGGAGGGTTGCATTGGTAAAAGCTGCAGTTTGCCTTCCCACCGGAACGGTGCCGTCGGAGGACGGTCAGTTTGGGTGTGAAAATGCCATCCGTTGGGGTAGGCTCTGCCTGCCTCTCAGCGCCTCACTTGGGCCTCAGTCAGCCCTTTCCAGTGACCTCCACGCTGAACCCTCCCGGTAACCCACGTGGGAGTTTTCGTTGTTTGTTTTCTTGTGGGAAGTGAGGCTGAAAGAGGGAAAGTCGCTTGTTCAAGGTCACTCGGGTGGAGCACGTGAGGACCTTTCCTCCGGAGCCCGGGCTTTCAGCCCCGTGTTTACATCTCTCATCTTGAGGGGTGACTTGGGCCACGACACTGGTGATTCCCATTAGGGTGACCGTCCGTCTGCTGGTGATTCCCATTAGGGTGACCGTCCGTCTGCTGGCGCTCTGGGACCTGGGACCCCAGGGAGAAGGCAGGACGGCCCTGCCTGGCAGAGCCGTTCCCGGCTGCTGCTCTGCAGTCCCAAGCAGACCCTGGGCCACCAGAGTCTCAGAGGACGGGTTTGTTTACAGCACAATCACACCATTTCTCACGTTTGAATCCCTACCCGGATCAAGCAGAATGAAAGAGACTTTCCTGGAAACTCCAGCCAAGAAGTTAGGAAAATTCATCAGCCTCTTTGCACTGACCTCAGCCAGCCCCGAAGTGTGCTTCCTGAGGCTAAGGCGGCTTACCCCCGCCCCTCGGGGGTTTCCAGAGCACCCCTGGTGCTGCCCTCTCTGTTGCTGGATTTCCTGTCTCCCAACAATGGGCTCTGCTTTTACTTTCCCAGTCACCAGCCCCACTTCCCTGACCCATCCAGCCAGTACTGTGGGGCTTCCCGTCACTGTCCATCCAGTACCACACACTCCTTCCTCCTTTTCCCCTCCTTTGGGCCAAGGTCCTGGCTGGCCCTCCTCTCAGCTATGGATCTGGTCAGTCAGTGCAGCTCCTCGCCCAGGCTCCCTGATTTTGGTCATTCAGCTTTCCAGAAAACTCTTTGGACTTCTGAATCAGTTCACAAACATGCGTAAGATCCCTATCAATGTTGATTTAATCTCCCACAAACTGAGGCCAATCCTGACCAGTCCAGGAAGTAGAAAACGCTGCACCTCCCCCTACCCCTGAGCAATACTGCGCTCCTCCCCCACTCCCTCAGTCACATGGTGCTCCTTCCCTGCTCACTCCTCCCTCCCCTCTGCACGGGGCCTGCCCTGGCACCTCCCTGGCCACGCCTGGCAGGCCTCCCAGTCAGGGCTGACTCAGCGCCTGCAGAGCTCCGCAGACCACAGAGAAGGGAGGAGAGTGATGAGAACACGCTGATTTGGAGCCTACAGTTTAGGAAAGTAACCTTCACAGGAGCTCAGAACTTTTGACTGGTTCCATGAACTCAGAATGTGAATGGGGAAAAGGCTCAGAAGGGCCTAGATCAGAGTGCGTGCCATGTTTGTTTGTTTTTTAATTGATCTGAGAGAGGAAGGGATAGGGAGAGAAACATCAACAATGAGAATCACTGATCATCTGCCTCCTGCACACCCCATACTGGGGATCTAGCCCATAACCCTGACCGGCATCGAACTAGTGACCTCTTGGTTCCTGGGTCGATGCTCAACCCCTGAGCCACACCAGCCTGGCTCACAGTCCAACTTTGTCATTCCTTTTAAGTTTTTATACGAGTTGTAGTTCTGTTTCACGTTATTCAAATAAAATCCCCCTTGTAATTTCTACAGCGACACCAGATGCAGGAGAAGATCCCAAAGTTACAAGAGCCAAGTTCTTCATACGGGATCTGTTTCTGGTAAGCAATTATATTACCTTTTCCCTACCATCTTAAGAGCGTGACTGTTCTCTGCAGTTTGCAAACGCTGACCAGCACTGAGCAAACCAGCCAGTGGCTGCCTTTTAAGCGCCTGCCCTGCCTCGACTGAACTCTGAGCTTCCACAGCCCGAGGAGGGCCAGGTTCTTTGGTTTCCAGCTAAACTTTCACTAGCTGGACACTCCCTACGGCTGTGTTCCTCTGTCAGACAGACACCCAAGCCCCCAGTCTCTGGTCCAAGTGGTGCCCAGGTTCTTCTCTGAGAGTGAGGGGTGGGGCTGTGGTCCCCTGTGCCCCCGGGGAAGGAGGCCAGGAAGCCCCGCAGCTCAGACGCCCCTGTGTTTACAGAGGATCAGCACGGCCACCGGGGACGGCAAGCACTACTGCTACCCGCACTTCACCTGCGCCGTGGACACGGAGAACATCCGCAGGGTCTTCAACGACTGCCGCGACATCATCCAGCGGATGCACCTCAAGCAGTACGAACTCTTGTGAGCTGCCGGGCGCCGCCTCCTGGCGCCCCTCCCCAACCCCCCTCCCCCACCGTCCTCCTGTCCACAGCCCCACCCCCAGGCTGCCCGGCAGCCCCAAGCCATGGTAGAAAGTAGTGGTCCGCACTACCGTCCGCCCTGCTCTGTGTCGGCTCCGGGGTGTGACCACCAAGCCTCTGGCTACCTCTGTTCCCCTCAGGTTTGGTTTGAAGCTTTTGTTTTCATTGACCATGACTTTCCCTACCCTCCTCGCCCTCCCCAGTCTGACACTGCCAGCCATCCACTCTCACTGGGGTGACCCTGCAGTGAGATGTCTCCAGGTGGGGCCCCTTTGATTCATCCGGTCAGTGATTTATTGATTCATTAAAAACCTGGGAGATGGCGGAGAAGCGCCCTTTCCCCCTGAGTTATCCAGTAGGACTGAGAGATGCGGGCCGCCCCGGCTCTCCGGTTCTGGCTCTAAGAAGCTGCAGGCGGACAAGTGGCCCCTGCTTCTGATCTGCGTTAGCCCACAGCGTAGGAGGCCCCAGGACACAGAGCTGCAAGAAAACCTATTTTTTCAATCATATTTGGAGCCTCTGTTAGCCTGGCATTTGGATTAGAGCTACTTGGAGCCTTTTATTTTTAGGCAGAAAACCTACCCCCTTCACTACTGGGAAGTGTGTCCCGTCTGAAAGTGATTCTCTAAACGTCCACTCTGCTCGGGCAACAGTCTTCTCTCATACACTCTCATTGTTTTATTGCTGGTTTATTACACTGTACAGATTACACAATGTAAGACTATTTTGTATAACTACTAAAAAAAAAAAAAACCCTGGTAGATCTGTGCCTGGATTATGGCTACCCCTGTGAAAGCAACGTGCTTTTATTGTGCTGAACAGCTGAGTATCTATGTGACCTGCCGCTTCTTTAAGGAAGGGAATGAATGGTATCTGTGGAATTTAGGACATTTTATCAAGGTGAGACTTTGAAAGATACTACTTGGCTTTAAAAAATTACATGTAATATATAGTAATCTTCCACATCTTACAAATAATGCTTACTAACATCACAAGCTCCCTTCAGGGAACATAGGGAACCAAGATGTTTTTTCTCTCCAGATAGTATATGTTCCTTGATTACTTTGCTGTTTAAACATGTTTGCATGTTCCCTGAGTGGAAATGGGTTGACCATTCCCACTGTCAAAGCTTTTGAGCCACTTACTTGACCACAGGTCCCATCTTAAGCAAACAGGAAGAAAAAGACAAGCGGGTGTCCACGTTTGTGTCTGCCAGGAGACCCCAAGGATGGCACCTTCACTTGCCTTTTGAAGAAGAAACATAGAACTTGTGTTTGAAACACAAAGTCAACATGTATGGCTATTTCTCAAATCTTGAAAGATTTGCAAATGCAGCCTCAAAAGTTATGGCACGGTGTATCTAGAAAGCAAGAATCACTGTAGCAGAGACATTTTTTATTCTAGCCACAGCCACAGCTTTGAGGGTAGTGTCCTTAGGTCAGAGATCATCTGTAATGATGTCCAAAATTGTAGTTTCACAGTACAAACCCAGAGAAGTGACAGCCTGGCCTGCATTACTTCATTAGTTTCCTTTTTAGTTTTCTGATATGTATTGGTATTTTAGAGTCTACTCTATAGTATAATTAGCATTTTTATGATCCTTTATAAACTTACCCAATGTTAGACACTACTAGAGTAACATGAGAGGATGACTACTTTATAGACAATCAATGCCACAAACATTTTATTTATTACCGAACTCCTGCTCCTCTCATCCTTAACTGTTGGACAAAACTCTCAATTGAACTGAGACATGTAAAGCAGAACTTATTTTCAGTTTTCATTGCTCTTTCCAAGTAAAACATGAAAACTGAACAGATAAAACCCCCACCAAAAAATGAAGGCATATATCATTACATGTACTACTTAATGACTCAACAATCCTCCTGTCACTAAACTTCCTATTTAAAAGTTTGATTGAAAAACTACACACACACACACACACACACACACACACACCCTCTGGCTTAAATTACCAAGATATTTATTTTTAAATACAAAAGCCCTTCCTCACCCATTTTTCAAATTTATTTTCATCATTGATAGGCATTAAGTTGCAATTTAACACCTCAGTCTGCTAGAGAGAAAATTACATTGATTTTTAAGTCTTGTAGACAATACTGTATATCCCTCCTTGTGTCACCTGTGCTTTTATTTTCATTGTACAGCTTTCTAATACATAGGACTTTGAGAACAACGTGGTAGTAGGACAGGCACAAACCCGATGGTTGGTGTGTGCACGCCTCAGCCCCCGTGTGCTGCGGGGCCGCTGGCTCCCTCGCTGGGAAGGAAGGCCTGTCCAGTGCATGCACGTGATGACGTTAATTAATAGCATCTACATATTGTACAGATACAATCTCTATTTCCACATACATTTGGGGGGAAAAAATGAGAAAACAGACTTGTCGTAGAGTACACGTTCCATTTTCATAGCATGAGAACAGTACAGTCAACTATTTATTCTGCCGTAATTTGCATCCGTGATTTAGCATTTCTGTGGTGTGCATCCAGACAGTCTCCTTGGGCCTCACCTCACAAAGCCAAAGGAAACGGCCTGAAGTTCCGTTTCCTTTGGCTTTGATATCGATTACTAAGTGCGAAAGGTCTCCTGCTCTTCACATGGTCTTAAACTTTCTGAGCAGCTTATAGCCAAAAAGAACAGGTGAGGCTACAAGTCCGAGGTGGACCAGCACGAGGACCACAAGGAAGCCCGTGGCCGCACAGTACGTGATCAGAACCGTGTCCTCCAGGGGAAGGTAGCACTTGGCCAGGGCGTACTCCGTGGGCGTCAAGCTGCCCTGGAAAGGAGAGGAGAATGTGATGCTGCAGGGAGCATGCACAGCTCCCACACGGCAGCATCCTGCACACACAGCCACTTCCCTGGCTGCTGAGGGGAGGCAGGGCGCGGCCCTCCTCACCGGGGACCGAAGGAGCCCCCCGCAGCCTGCACACAGGGTTCCTCTACCACTGAGAGGTACTCAGAGAGGCAGGGAGACGTAGAACAGGAGGAACAGGAGCGCGAGGCTGTTTTTCATGCCTCCCGATGCTAAAATCAGCAATCTGCCGCCTGGGTACATACATGTGCCAGAGGCATCTCGGCGGGTTTTTTTGTTTGTTTGTTTTTGTTTTTTAGACGTATTTACTAGGTGGTGTGACAGCGGGGAATGTTTTCATTTCTGACTTTGAATTTGACAACGGGAGGTTTTCCCATCATCTGAGGAAGCACAAGTACCTGGCATAAAAGCATTAGGCACTGGATGCGGCAACCCAGGGGCAAAAAGAAAGGAGCTGCCACCTCGGGTGGTCCCCGACTGAAACAGCCTCAAGCAACGTGTGTGGGCACGCGAGCCCTTTTCTGCCAGAGCTCAAGGCCGGCCCGTTAGGACAATAAGACAATAAGGAAGCTGCACCTAGCCAGGGAAGTAGCGAGCCTGTTCCCTTAAAAAAGTAAACACACAGTCTCCTGCAGAGGACACTGCCTTCCCTGAAGGATAAGCCGCTCTGCAAGTGGCTGCTCTCGCCGCCCCCCCCCCCAATACTGGCGGGAAGGCATCCCCTGTGCATGTGGGGTGGGGACGTTTGTGTGTGGCTTCTGTATGTTTTTAACAGATTGCAGCTGTTGATAGTTGATGACTGTGTCGATTTAAAATACGTATGAAAGCTTTGAGGCGAAAATAAACGTTCACATTACCACGATGAAGCTGGGGTTGTTTCTGTTCCTCCAACTGAAGGACGGCACGCTGATCTCGGGGACCTGCGCCCCGTGGAGCACCTCGCAGCCACTGTGCGTGTGGCCGCTCAGCACCAGGCGCGGCCGCAGCCACCACAGCAGCTGGCACGGGGGACAGACAGCAGCGGGCGGTTAGCGCGGCCCAGCCCCCTTCGGTTAGACCCGAAACCCCTGCTTCCCAGGACCACTCTGAGTTCTCCTTAACACCCTCTGGTTTGTTCAGACGCTACTCCAAGGAAGTCCAGGCTGCCCAAGAGGATCTGCTCTTCTCTCAGATTTCACTGTTTTTATAAATAGCTAATGTATTTCATCAATACGTTTACTTGTGATTACCAATAACGTTATATAAATACGCATTTAAGAAAGAGCATTGTTAAGTCCCTAAAAACTTAACCCTACGTTCCATTGACACTTCTATACACATTTGAGTTTGGTGGGAAGAACGCAGAGTAGCTGAGAATGTTATTAACTGGATACCAGCAAATAGAAGTGGATTTACTGGGGAGAGGGGGTAAACAAAACAATGACATGAAAATCTCAAATACTGCCAGAACCCTGTCCCTCCCCTCCCCTCACCCAATCCCTGGGTGGAAACTACAAGACTCAGCTGGCTTCCCTTTGAGGCCGGTGAACTGGCACACCTTCTGCGAGGCCTCCCGAGAGAGCACGTCGTATCTCTCCTTAAAGGGGACGGCCTTCTCCTCTGGGGGCGCGGCATCCTCCCCGGAGCAGTTGGCGTCGCTCGGCCGGTAAAGCGGGAAATGCTGCCGGATGGAGAGGAGTCAGACGTGACTTCACGGGACCCTGCCTGGCCCTGCCCGACTCCCGGAGCGCCGTCTCCCCGCCTCACCTGCAGAAGCACGGGGGCCGAGGCCGGCGGCGGCTGCCCATCCCCACACCGGCCCGGGCGCAGCTCCTGCTGGTCAGAGCTCAGTCAGCGGGCCTGGCAGGCCCAGAGTCAGGCGCACGGTAGGAAGGGGAGAGGGAGATGAGACTGACAGAAGCACAGATGAGACGGATCGCCACGGCCCGTAGGACACGCCAGGACAGAAGGCACCCGTGCCCTTCCCCTCACCTCCTACCTCTCGGGAGCAGTTCAGCCGGTGAGAAATGTCCACGAGCTCAGCTTCTGCTTCAGAGCAAATGCTGCAGCCATCCCCTTCCAGGGCCACGCTGTTGACCATCACAAAACTGAGGCAGAGGGAGCAAGCGGAGCGTCAGGGGCTGCCCTGGTGCAGACTTCCTGCAGCATTATCCCTGGGAAATGCAACTAGGTGTCCACAGGAGGACACGACTCCCAGAACAGCTTAACATCTCTGTGTGTTTATGGGGGAGTCAGTATTGGCATTATGGGGAGTGGAGTCCAAGACGTGGTAAAGGGTTTGTAACCCAGAACTCAGGACAAATGCAAGCGTACAGGAGCTCCCAGGACAGATACCACTAAGCCCCACATGTGTCCCTGGACAAGTTCCTTAGCTTCCTTGCAAAATAGGGATATAAACAGTCCACCATGCCATCGGCTTATGGTGAGAATCAAATGAAAGAATACAACAGAGTAGGGCCTGCCGTTGGAAAGTGAAGGTTAGACACTTATTACCTAATGCCATGGTTGGCAAACTGCGGCTCGCGAGCCACTTGCAGCTTTTTAAGTCCCTGTAGTGTGGCTTTTCCACAAAATATCACTGCCTGGGCGAGTCTACTTTGAAGAAGTGGTGTAAGAAGTTTAAGTTTAAAAAATTCGGCTCTCAAAAGAAATTTCAATCGTTGTACTGTTGAGATTTGGCTCTGTTGACTAATGAGTTTGCCGGCCACTGACCTAACGTGAACTATGGGCAATGTTCAGGGATGTCCGTGTACTCAGCAAACAGGCAGGGCTGGGGGTGGGCCTGGGCGCTGGTTAGAGTTGACTGGTGTGGATAATCCCACACCAAGTCAGCTGCGGTTCTCCGTGGCAACCACTTAGTCATATTCTCTATAAACTCCCGTTCAATTTGTTCTGATTTCCTACACACACAGCAACAGGGCATGAAGAAAGTACCTGTGGTAAAGCTTGCTTGAACTGTAAAGAATTTTAGAGATGAGGAGCTGACTAATCAAATGACCTGAAATGTGATCAGTGTATTGAATGAAAACTTCTTGAACTCAAGGCTCAGGGAGAAAAAAAAACCTCTTGGGTCAAGTCTCCATTCTTACTCTGGAAAGGAAGCTACTAGACTCTGCCCTCCAGGCAAAGGGAGGGAACCAGGGTGTCTGTGGAAAGCCCACTGACCCCTGGTCCCTGGGGGCTTCACGCAGATCAGATCATTGATGGGCCCCGAGAACTGCTCTGGCCAAAGCCAACAGAGTCCTGGATACCATGGGAAGGATATGGTCCAAAAAGGACAATTTCCTCTCCCGCCTTTTCTCTTTCCACTGGTCCGCAGCTAGAATAACGTGCAAGTACCACCGGGTCCGCTGTGCTCAAACACACACAGAGACCAGAAAGGGTCAAGACGGGGAGCTGGTGCTGATGGTCAGACTACTAGTAGAGGGTTAGGAAGCTCTGATCTAAAAGTCAAGGCTGAGGGAAGTAGGGGATAGGCACAGAGCTGCAGAGCAGTGAGCACACGGGCCGTCAAGTCCTAGGACACCGTAACTACAGGAACGTCCTTTACAAAGGGAAATGAGTAAATTTTGAACCAACAAAAACACTTCTTCACCAAGTGGACTGGTGAAATGTATAGCATCCACAGATCGTGCTGACAGAAACAATAAAATTCCCTCAGTGGTTAGGCAGAGTAATAGACTAACCCATTCGCTGTGGATTGTCAGGGGAAACTAGGGTGGTGACTCCAATGGGGACCTTCAACGAGGAGATGAGGCGCCGTCATCAGAGACTAAACCAGGCCCCACACGCCATGGGCCTGGCCCAGCAGGGCAGTCACCTCTGAAAAAGTAAGCTGCCAAGGACATAAGAATTCACAAATACTCACTTAATTCCTTTCCATGAAAACAGCCTTTCAGGGTTGAAAACTTTCTCAAATCGTTTTATTCTGTATCTGCTCATCCTACATTCAAATTGTAAAAAGAAACACTTCTCAGAACAAGAGCCATTTTTAAGATTTTTAGGATCTGTTCATTGATTTTTAGAGAGAGAAACATCCACGTGAGAGAGAAATATCAATCCCATATGCGCCCTGACCAGTGTTCAAACCCGCAACACACACACACACACACACACACACACACACACACACACATGCACACACACGCCCTGACTACATGAACCTGTAACCTTTTGATGTAGAGAACGACGCCCCAGCCAGGGCCAGAACAAGTCATTTAAAACCTCTTAAGAGTTATTAGCAGAGACCGGTTTGGCTCAGTGGATAGAGCGTCGGCCTGCGCACTGAAAGGTCCCGGGTTCGATTCCGGTCAAGGGCATGTACCTTGGTTGCGGGCACATCCCCAGTAGGGGGTGTGCAAGAGACAGCTGATCGATGTCTCCCGCTCATTGATGTTTCTAACTCTCTGTCTCTCTCTCTTCCTCTCTGTAAAAAAACAATAAAATATATTAAAAAAAAAAAAAAGTTATTAACACACACACACACACACACACACACACAGAAAAAAAAAAAAAATTTTCAGGATTTGAGCCCGACAAGCATGGTTAGTTCAGGGCTCCAGTTGGCCCCAGGTTATCAAGGTGCAACTCTCGCCTCCACTACTGGATAACCATCAGGCCTTCCCAAGGGCCTTCGCTTCCTCACTGGCACCATGAGGTGCTTAACACCGGCAGGCACATAATAAACACTACGTAAATATTAGCTATTAAAGTTTACCTCATCTTGTTTTCTGATTCCCAGAGAAAATAATGGGCCATTAAACGTAAGTTTCAAGTGAGAATCACCCAAAGGCGCACACAAATCATTCACTTAAGAGCTCTGTTGAGGGTGCATATGATGTACCAAGGCAAAAATCCTGTCCCTCCTGGAGCTTACATCCCGGAGCTTACACTTCACACGGATTTCCCCCACAGTCCAGATAAGGCTTAAACTGTAGCAGGTTCAGAATCACAGTCAGCGAGTGCGCCCTGTGGCAGTGCTGTGGTGAACTACTTACTGGTAGTGGAAGCCAATGTCGTGGTTGCCAACAACTACCTTCAGCTGCACATGATCTGGGTGTCTGAACATTTTCTGAAACCTCTCCACATCATCCGCCCAGGCCTGTGGGATAAAACGGTCACTGTGAGGCCCAGAGAACCTTCTCTTCTCTGCTGCTCCCCATTCTGATGGTGAGACGTTAGTGCCCCTGTCCAAATCAGATGTCCATAAAGCTAATGTAGAACTTAGGACTTTTAATTTTATGTCAAACTTCTTTTTCCAAAACCTACTTAATATTTTAATTGTTTCATTTAATGCCAAAATTTAACTAAATGCTATCCCCAACTTAAAAAATTAACTGGCAACCCTCCACGCGCCCCCCCCCCCAAAAAAAAATATATTTGGTTCATTTAACATCCCCTGAAGATGACACAAGGACCCCCGCTTGGGAATCACATCAGATCTGGACATGTTATAAGAACAGACTCTTAGGACATATTAAGTCAATTCACGCGTCTCCGCCAAGACAAGGACAAGCATTAGCATTTCACGGTGGCCACAGGGGAGGAAGTGAGGCCTGATGACATGGGGAAGAAACAAAATTTAACTATTAAATCTTAAGAATTATGTTCACATAGTTCCTATTGTTATTAAGCTTAAAAATATCAATTGGATAACTCTAGGATCAACAATACCTAGTTGACTAGAAATCAACCTCATCCTAAATGTTTTAAGTATGGCCCAACCTAGGGAAATATGCTGTATAGAATCCTTCAGTGCATTTACAAAGACTCCACTCCAACAAATAATATTTAGAGTTAGAATAATATAAAGTCAGAATAACATAGAATTAGAAAAACATAAAATGTTGCCCTTAATTTGGAAAAGCAACATAGATATTCAATCTCATGTTATAACTAGTTGCTTTTTACAGATAGCATTTCCACGAGCTCGTATTTAACTTTGAACTAGATTACAGCAAACATTGCAACCTATAAACACTGGGTTCCTATCATTTCTGGACCAAGACTTCCTCTGTACAGCTTTTCGATTGTCCTGTGAAATACTAATGGATTTTAATATCTTCCAAAAACCATTAATGACTAAGCTTTTTTAACTAAGTAGCAAGAAGAACTTGTTTTAATTATTATTTACTAGAGGCCCAGTGCCCAGTGCACAAAATTTGTGCACGGGGAGAGGAGGGAGGAGGAGATGTCCCTCAGCCCAGCCTGCACCCTCTCCAATCTGGGATCCCTCTCACAATCCAGGACTGCTGGCTCCCAACTGCTCGCCTACCTGCCTTCCTGATTGCCCCTAACTGCTTCTGCCTGCCAACCTAATCACCCTCTAACCACTCCCCTGCTAGCCTGATTGATGCCTAACTGCTTCCTTGACAGCCTGATTGCCCCTAACTGCCCTTCCCTACAGGCCCGGTCGCCCCCAACTTCCCTTCTCTGCCAGCCTGGTCACTCCTAACTGCCCTCCCCTGCAGGCTTGATTGCCTCCAACTGCCCTCCCTTGCAGGCCTAGTCCCTCCTAACTGCCCTCCCCAACTGACCATCTTGTGGCAGCCATCTTTGACCCTGTGGAGGCAGCCATCTTATGTGTTGAAGTGACAGTCAATTTGCATATTACTCTTTTATTATATAGGATAAAGGCCTGGGTGGGGGCCAGCTGGTTTGCCCTGAAGGGTGTCCTGGATCAGGGTGGGGGTTCCCTTGAGAAATAGGGTGGCCTGGGTGAGGTGGCCTGGGTGAGGGATCAGGGTGGGGGTTCCCCTGAGAAATAGGGTGGCCTGGGTGGTTTCCAGGACGGAGGAACCCCCAGCAACCCAAGCAGAGGCCCTGCTATTTGGGATTTATTTATCTTCTATAATTGAAACTTTGTAGCCTTGAGCAGAGTCCAGGGCCAGCCAGGAAGCTTGGCATCCTCCATCACCACAGGCAACCCAAGCCGCCTACTCTCTCCAGTTCCAGGGCTGCCACCATTTTTGTTGGGATTGATTTATCTTCTCTAATTGAAACTTTGTAGCCCTGAGGGGAGGCCAGGGCCAGCCAGAGCAGTCAGGAAGCTTGGCTTCCTCCACTGCTGGGGAAACTCACGTCTCCTGCTCACTCCATGGCCACAGCCATCTTGGTTGGGTGAATTTGCATACTTGCTCCTGATTGGCTGGTGGGCGTGTCTGGGGTACAGTCGATTTGCCTGTTCTCTTTTATTAGTGTAGATTCTAAAAATGTAATAAGCAAGGCAGTGACAACTAAGGGGAGAACAGCCTCTCTTATCATCACCTCAATACCCCACAGAGGCCTCAGGACCCCTGAAGGCAGAGAAGCTGCCCATTAAGCCCCCAGGGCTCCTTCTGCACCTTTCCCTCAGAAGAAAGGAAACAAGAGGAACAGTAATTTATATATCACAGTTCTTACAAGTTAGTGGCTAAATAAGAGTGTAAAGTCAAATCACATTGCACTGTGTATTCTGTCATTTTGGTGCCGACCGAAATAGCATCCATCTTGCCAATTTCCCCCTTTTGAAAGAGGTTCGTGGGAATGTGCATTTCAACCATGTCTGGCTAATCGGCATATTTCCTACACAGACAAATATAAGATCAGTCAACCTAACTCGAGATTGGCATTAGACACAGACCCTCCTAACCTTCAAGACAAGACTATGCATTGTTAATATCAATATTAAGCAAAACTTCCACCCCTCCCTAACTTTGCTCCGTGCATTTGCGGGCTGCCTACACAGGACGTGAAAGCAGGATGAGGGCGCCAGGACTGAAGGGTCCTACCTGGGGGGAGCTCCACTTCCCTTCATCAAAGATATCTCCCAAAATGAAGACGACTTCCGGCTGCAGCAACCACAGAGCCGTCTGGAAGGCTCTCTCCATTTGCCACTCCCTGGAGGCAATGAAAAAGGGCATCAGGCCGTTTCCTGGGTGGAGCCCACATCCGTTTTCTGGGCCATTTAAAAGGTGAACGAAATGGTCCCCTATTCCTCCTTCGCTGGCCCCACCCTCACATTCGCATCCACTGCCCCGAAGGACCAGAGAAAGAATCCTGATTAAATGTACCAGAGGGGAGTCCGTCCATGTGCATGTTTGTTCTGTTGCTGTGGCTGCTTCTCCACACCTATCAAAGGCTGACTCCTCCGATGGTGCCCACAGAGCAGGCCCCACGCTGCACCCCGAAGCCAACTCTCAGTCATGAGTGCCCCGGGGACCTGAGGGCTCAGTGCAGCCCAGTGTAGACTGATTCTGCACGACACTGAGCAGATGACAGCATCTGGCTTAACTTCCACGGCGTGAAGGGACCTCCACTTCCTGCCCTCAGACCATGAGAGAAGCACACTTGCCAACATCACCTTTAGGTGAACAAGTGGAAGTCAAGAGCCTGGAGCTGGAACCCGACAAGCAATGGCTTAGCATCCCAGCTCCACCCACGGACCAGCGGTGACGCTTTGAGAAAGCTGCCTCCTCTCTCTGGCTCCTAGCTTCTTAGCTTCTTCGTCAGTAAATGAGGATCACAGAAACCTACTTTCACGGCGTAGTTGTAGGATTAAGGGAGAGAGTATTTGTAAAGAGCCGGCACAGCATAGGTGTTCAAAAATGTCAGTGCTTCCTCAGCCCTGCCTCTCTTTCCCCTAACCAACTGTGTCATTTTCCTAAAGATCCCAATTCTTCCCTCCTTTTTACAGCATCTTTCCCGGCTGCTTCCGCCCTGCTAAGGAGGACTGTCCCGTCCTGGGCATACACATAGGGGACAGTAACTTTTGGTCAGAGGAGACTTTTCCGGCCCCTTGTAAACTGCTGCATGGTACAGCTTCACTCAAGATACCTCCCAAAATACAGCCCTCAGCTTTTCTTGACTTAATGTTAGTTGCCCTGGAGAAGAAAGCATCTAGAAGCAGCCACAGCAATGGAACAAAGAAGGCTACTTGGGGGACTGAGCATAAATAAAGCACAATCTGTAAGACCCAAACAAAGCCAAAGCAGCTCAGTCTCTTCCTGGCCTTCTCTAGGTCATGCCTCTTATGGCTTGAAACTAGGAGTAAAAAGTACAGCAACCCCTCCATCTGCCCTTCTTTCATCTGTCTTCTTCACCCACCCCTGGGGACATCACACATCTTCCCCTGCCACCCAGCATAAGGCCTATGTATAGCCAAAGCACTCTGAGGCCATTGCTATTCGCAAGAATAGACACCTATTCAGCGAGACACACGTGAAGCCATGGTTAGGGAAAGGGGTCAGCTTACAGGTCACAGGGATGACAAGGGAGCTCTACTGACCGGTGGTCGGAAGCCCCCATCCATCCCCTCTGGGTGGGCATTGTGAAAAGAAGCCAAGAGATAGAAGCAACCCACAAGTCCATCGACGGGTGAAAAACAAAGTGTGGTGTAAACCTACCGTGGAATCTTACTCAGCCTTAAAAAGGAGGGAAATTTTGACACATGTTATAACACAGATGAACCTTGGAAGACATTATGTTAAGTAAAATAAGCCAGTTACAAACTGACAATTACAATTACACTTATATAAGAATGTAAGTTTAAGCCCTGGTGGGTGGCTCAGCTGGTTGGAACGTCATCCCATACACCAAAAGGTTGCGTTGATTCCTGGTCAGGGCACATACCTAGGTTACAGGTTTGATTCCCTAGTTAGGACAAGTAAAGGAGGCAATCGGTCAATGATTCTCTCTCTCTCTCTCTCTCTCTCTCTCTCTCTACCTATCTACCTACCTACCTACCTACCTACAAGGTCGTATCTATCTATCTATCTATCTATCTATCTATCTTTCTTTCTCTATCTCTTTATCTCTCCCCACCCACCCCTTCCTCTTCCTGTCTCTAAAGCTGAATAAAAACAAATTGTCGAGTGAGGATTTTAGCAAAAGATATTTAAGATGATGACTTTTATGTCATGTGTATTTCACCACCATTAAAATTTCTGTGGGGAAACAGACAGACAGCGTTGGGCAGGTCTAAGGTGGAGACAGGAGTCGATCCTCACCCAGGGAGGCAGCCACAGCCACCTCCTGCTGCCAGCATGGACCAAAACCAAGCAAGCTCAACACACACCCCAGTGCCCGTGAGAGGGTCCGCCCGGCCCAGGAGAAAGGAAGCCCACTGCGCTGACCACAGCCACATGCTGGGCACTGCCATGGCATTTTCGTCACACAGCCTGTGGCACTTCTCGTGTTAACCCCGTTACAGACAAGGAGGCAAAGACAGGCTCAGAGGGCCCCAGTGACTTGTCCCAAGTCATGAGACTCAGACCCAGTCCTCCCTTCCAAATTCTGGGTCTTTGTCTATAACAGATGCTCAGTGAATAGTAAGTTCAAGAAGTCAACTGCTCCATGTTTCCCTTTGAGAGGAAAACAAAGAGTATCCTGGAGCCATTAAGCCTGGCCAGCGGGGAGACCAAGATACCTTTTTGCCTACAGAATTTCGGAAAGATTCCTGATGTTAGCTCTTACCTCCGTAACTTGTCTAGCCAGTGGCCTCTGATTTCCCCAAGCAAGTGGGTATCAGCCAAAAACATGGCTTTCAGGACAGGTTTGAGAGTCCCTGCTCCCCGGTCACGGGCTGGAGTTTTCACCTCGGGCCAATTACACCGAAGGATCACTAAGTAATAGATTAAAAATTCACAAAACAGAAGCACAGAACAGACAAAAGCTGTGAGTTTCAACAGCAAGAAACTCCTTCTCTTCCACAGATGAGAATTCAGCCTTCCAAACCCAAATCGGAGAGCAGCCATTCCTTCAGCCAAGCAGCTGCCAGCAGCCACAACTCAGATCCATCAAGGATTCACCAGGAGGAAACTGTGGAGTCCCAGGGAAGGTGCAGATGATGTCCAGGTCTTAGCCATGAACCTACAGAGAAAAGAGAAAGGATTGGTCTGTGGTTCTATATGAAGAACTAAGGAGCCCTGACTGGTTTGGCTCAGTGGACAGAGCATTGGCCTGCAGACTGAAGGGTCCCGGGTTCAATTCCCGTCAAGGGCACATGCCCGGGTTCAGGAGGTGGCCAATCAATGGTTCTCTCTCATCACTGGTCTTTCTATCTCTCTCTTCCTCTCTGAAATCAATTTTAAATTTTTTTCTTAATGAAATATGGAGTCACAGAATTCTATCTACATTCCCAACTGAACAAACTGTCCTCTGCTTTTACAGCGATAATATGTCTGATTACTGATAACCAGGTAGGCCAGAATAACGCTATTAGAATTGCTGCCCATTCAGCTGATAAAACTTTACTACTACTTTGGAAATCATTAAATGAAAATCAATCGATGGATGCTTTTAGTTAGCAGACATAATAGGGAAAGTCCACAAATATTATTGTAATTTGACTCCTAGAAGGAGTCACCCCTCCAGGACCTTACACCAATAGGTCATAAGCCCTTTGTAATGTGTTGGTGTGAATTCATCATTTTTCTACACTCTTTTCCCCACAAAAAAAAGTGATTATTCACACACAGTGTGCTTCCGAGATCCACGCAAAGCCATTCCCTCCCTTGCTCTGGGCTCAAAGGACAAAATCCAACAGAGCCACCATCTCTGAATACTGCGTCAGATTATATATACTTTCACAATACGGGCTTTTTATCTGCATATTAGCCTTGAAACTCTGGGTGGCCTTCTGTAATAAGACATTCACAGTGGTTCTCTATGGGAAACTTTAGAATGCTGATGGATGCATCTGAGTCAGAGATGGACTTTGCATCCTATAAAGAAAGCATCTGTTTTTGATCCTCTGAGGAGAATGGTTAATAAAAGGATGGCCTGAGATAGGATATAAGAGGTGGCATTCTACGGAAGGTTCCTCAGCTAATGCTCAAGACAAACATTTTTTTAAAATATATTTTGTTGATTTTTTTACAGAGAGGAAGGGAGAGGGATAGAGAGTTAGAAACATCGATGAGAGAGAAACATCGATCAGCTGCCTCCTGCACACCCCCAACTGAGTATGTGCCCGAAACCAAGGTCCATGCCCTTGACCGGAATCAAACCTAGGACCTAGGCCGATGCTCTATCCACTGAGCCAAACCGATTTGTATATATTTAAAATATACAGCGTGATGATTTGAGATTGTGAAATGATTACCACAATCTAGTTTATTAACACACCTATCATCTCACATAGTTAGCTTTTGGATGTGGTGACAAGGCTTAAGATTTATTCTCTTGAACTTTTGCCCAGACTTGTGGCGCTGCCCGCAGAGCTGGAGTGCTCTGTAGCCTCCAGGCTACCATCCGTTTTAAAAAAAAGAAAACAAGAAAAATAACCCTATAGATAAGAATATAAGAATAAACTGTTTTCCATTCTCAGGACTGTAAACCTAACTTCCCCCCACCCTGTAATTATAGTATTGTTCTATACTCCCCAACACATAAGAATAGTAGCTGCAGTCTACACTAAAGAGCAAAATATTTTATCCATTGACTGATTTTTAACTTCAAAATTGTTGAATATTTAAATTCCTTCCCCACTCCAAAGCAAAATGTAAAACAGAATGTTAACAAAAAGTTTACATGCTGGCCAGTGTGGCCCAGGTGGTTGAGCTCCCTCCAGTGCACAAGGCAGCTGCTGGGTTTTTTGTTTTGTTTTTTAATATATTTTATTGATTTTTTACAGAGAGGAAGGGAGAGAGATAGAGAGCTAGAAAAGTCGATGACAGAGAAACATCGACCAGCTGCCTCCTGCACACCCCCTACCGGGGATGTGCCCACAACCAACGTACATGCCCCTGACCAGAGTCCGCAGACCGATGCTCTACCGCTGAGCCAAACCGGTTTCGGCGGTAGTTGCTGTTTGATTGAGGTCTGAGCTCATGCCTGGGATAAGGGCTCAATCCCCTATAGGGGGCGTGCAGGAAGCAGTCATCCGCGTTTCTCTCTCTCCCTCTCTCTAAAAATCAATAAAAACATATTTTTTGAACATTTTACTATGCACTGGCCTGTCATTTTTTCATGTTTTGCTGGTTATCTTAAATATATTATTACCACAATGTCGTCAAGGGTTATTTGTGGTTAAGATTTCTATCTTAAATGATATTTTAAAACAAAAGTTTTTTTTTCTTTCTATATCATAAACTAAGAAGCGAGAAACCCCTACGATTGAATAATACGGGCCTTCCTTCAGTGATAGTGATTTTTCCAGCAAATAACTGTTTTCTTTTCCAATAGGTGAGCTTGCCGGGTTAAAAGGGCAGGGAGGATCCCGCTTGCAGAAACAAGAAATAGCAATGAACCTCGAAGCATAAATATTACAGCACGGTTACCAGGATACCTGTAAGATCCCACTGGCCCTGGCGCTCGGCATCCCACAACGCGTGCAGATCGGAAAGCAAGGACCCCGCATTTCACGGGTCCTCTGAAACCCGCCGCGCACCGCGGTGCTTCCTGTTCCGCATCGTGGCCGGGCAGGTCCCGGTCACCCTGGAACCCCGCCCCTGCGGCCTCAATCGGGCGGAAAAGCCCCGCCCCGCCCGCCTGGCACCCGCATTCTGCAGCTGGGGCTCCGGAGCCCGCGGGCGGTGCAGGCGGAGCTGGTCGGCCTGCGCCCCTGGGAAGGGAAGCACGGTCCCGGCTCCAACAATAGATGCAAAGAAAAACAACACATACACGCGGCTGCACCTTCCTCAACGACTGGTCCCCGGGGCCATCCTTTTACATGTCTTCTGGACGGAGCCCCGAGTCGCTCATCGGAACCCCCGGGAAGTCGCTGCAAACGGGCGTCGGCCTGGGACAGGAGCTGCACCCCAGAAACGCAGGGGGGGGGGGGGGGGCGCGGGAGAGAAGCCACTTGGGCACAGAAAGGCCGCTGGGACGCAAGATTGCCTCCTGCCGGGCCGGGAGCCGGCGGGCTCGGGGCTGCCGCACGCTCGGTCCCCCAGATCTTGCACGGCGACCGGGGAGGCTGGAGCGATCCTTTCTGTAATGCACGGCCTCGGATCCTTTCTGTAATGCACGGCCTCGGATCCTTTCTGTAATGCACGGCCTCGGCTCGGACCCGAGCGGCGGGCTCCCGCGGGCAGTGCGCTCCGCCCTCCGGGCCTGGCAGAGCCGCGCTCCGGGCGGGGCCCCCGCAGGCCGGCTGGGCGCGCTGAGAGCCACTCGCGGCCCGAGGCGCGCCTGGCGGGCTGGGTGCGGGTCCCCGGAGCAGCCCCTGCGGGAAGCCCGCTGCCCTGGCCTCATGTGGCGTAGTCCCTGGGATGGCTGGCTCCCTCCCTAGCGGATCGCGGGAAGCGAGCTGCTCAGGCCCCATGGTGGCGTGGTCCCTCGGATTGCTAGCTCCCTCTGCCTTCCGCCCTCAAGACAGCGCTCCTGGAGGACCACACTGTGACTTCCATCTTCAGGGCCTGGCCCAGGGCCTTACAGAAAAGGGTGATGGCTAAAGGAGCCGGTCACAGTGACTGTTCTGGAGTTTCTTTCTGTTTTCCTTTAACTCATGCTACTGATGTTGTAACAGTATGGCATAGCATCTACTCTTCAAAATCCTTTCACATTCCATTATTACCTCAAATAATCCTCAAAATAAGTCTCATGTAAGTCAGCAGGAATCATTCGCCCGTGTTATAAGAAGTAAACTGCAGGTCAGAGCAGTCAGTCATTCAGAGAGCCTTACAAACAACTAGGCCTGGCATGTTTTTGCAAACCTAGGAATATAGTTAATGTGCTGTGTTATGAGAAAACCATGTAGAAAGCAACCAGCGAAATGCCTGATAGATGGTGAGTAAAGAGTAAAAGGTAATTACTTTCTCAATTAAGAATATTGTAATATTTTCATGTCCGTCCAGACGAACGATGTTAACATCGCCCAACCAGACTCTATATGCACATGGATATGCAATAGGAAGTATGCAGCCTCACTTCTAATGTCTTCCCACAAACTGGAAAAGAAAAGGAAAAAGAAAGGCAAACCCAGTTAAGCCTATAATTAACTTCAAGCTTAAGGAAATGTAGTAGCCAAATGAGCATATTATGGTACACCACCAGGAAGCAATCAGCCCATCCAGAATGTGGGAAATTCTACAGACCCAATGGCCCAGTTTCTTTACTCAATAAATAAATAGATCTGTTATAAAGCAGGCTTTAAAGACACACATTAGCCAAATGCAGTTTGTGAGCCTTATTCTACCTAATAAAAGAGTAATATGCAAATTAACCATCACTCCTCTACACCACAAGCCACACCCACCAGCCAATCAGAGAGTATGCAAATTAACCCCAACCAAGATGGCTGCGGCCACAGAGAGCAGGAGGGAGGCTTGGGTTTCCCAGGCAAGGGAAGAAGAAAAGCTTTTCACCTGTCCTAGCTGGCCTAAACCTCCACTCAAGGCTACAAAGTTTTAATTATAGAAGGTAAACAAATCCAAACAGAAATGGCAGCAGCTACCAGTGAGCAGGGGGCTTGGCTCTGCTCCAGGCTACAAAATTTCTATTGTAGAAGGTAAATAAGCATGGGGCATCAGGACATGAAATGGACATTAGATGACACTAAAGAATGGCAATTTTGCTCTAATAATGCTCTTGTGGTCATGGGTTTTGTTTCTTTGTTTTTTGAAGATTAGGGTAACATACTAGAGTGTTTACAGGCAAATTATATGATTTCTAAAATTTGTTTTAATACTGCAGGGGGAAAAACTTGGAGAAGAAACAATATTAGCAGAATGTTGTTAATATATCTGGGTTTGTTTGTTTGTTTGTTTCGCTTGAACTAAGCCTTGAAGGAGAAAGGAGTTTCCCAGATTTA